AAACCATGGCTTTGACTATAGTTCTTCTGTGTATTCTTGCTACATCTTCTTAATATCTTCTGCTTTTGTTAGGTCCATATTGTTTCTGTCCTTTATTGTGCCCATCTCTGCATGAAATAGATCCCTTGGTTTGTCTAATTTTCTTGAAGAGATCTCTAGTCATTCCCATTCTATTGTTTTCCTCTATTTCTTTGCATTGATCACTGAGGAAGGCTTTCATATCTTTCCTTGCTATTGTTTGGAACTCTTCATTCAGATGGACATATCTTTCCTTTTTCCCTTGCCTTTTGCTTCTCTTCTTTTCCCAGCTATTTGTAAGGCCTTCTCAGACAACCATTTTGCCTTTTTGTATTTCTTTTTCTTGGGGATGGTTTTAATTACTGCCTCTTATATACTGTTATGATCCTCCATGCATAGTTCTTCAGGTGCTCTATCTATCAGATCTAGTCCCTTGAATCTATTTATCACTTCCACTGTATAATCATAAGGGATGTGATTTAGGTCATACCTGAATGGTCTAGTGGTTTTCCCCACTTTCTTCAATTTTTCAAGTCTGAATTTGGCAATAAGGAGTTCATGACCTAAGCCACAGTCAGCTCCCAGCCTTGTTTTTGCTGACTGTATAGAGCTTCACCATCTTTGGCTACAAAGAATATAATTAATCTAATTTTGGTATTGACCTTCTGGTGATGTCCATGTGTAGAGTCTTCTCTTGTGTTGTTGGAAGAGGGTGTTTTCTATGACCAGTGCTTTCTCTAAGCAAAACTCTGTTAGCCTTTGCCCTGCTTCATTCTGTACTCCAAGGCCAAACTTGACTGGTACTCCAGGTATCTCTTGGCTTCCTACTTTTGCATTCCAGTCCCCTATGATGAAAAGGACATATTTTTAGTTAGTTTAGAACGTCTTGTTAGCGTTAGTTTAGAAGGTCTTGTAGGTCTTCATAGAACTGTTCAATTTCAGCTTGCTGCATTAGTGGTCGGGGCATAGGCTTGGATTACTGTGATATTGAATGGTTTGCCTTGGAAATGAACAGAGATCATTCTGTTGTCTTTGAGATTGCACCCAAGTACTGCATTTCGGTCTCTTCTGTTGATTCTGAGGGCAACTCCATTTCTTCTAAGTGATTCTTGCCCACGATAGTAGATGTAATGGTCATCTGAATGAAATATCCCATTCTGGTCCATTTTAGTTCACTGATTCCTAAAATCTCAGTGTTCACTCTTCCCATCATATGCATGTACAGGTATAACCATGTCTCCTCTTTATAAAAAGTACTAGATTTTAAATACTGTTCTGTGCTTTGTTTTTCTATATTGTTGTACTTTCTAAAACTGCAGAGAAGGTCTTCATTCTGTTTATTTTCCCTCCAACAACTGTATAGTACATTCTATTATATAAATGTGTTAAAATTACTTTTACCACTGTCCTATAGATGGACTTTTAGGTTATTTTTAAACTTTTGTTATTATAATGAATAATGTACATGCATTATTTCTATAGAAGCAACTCTTAAAAGCAATTTGCTGGTTCTGGAATATAATTCTGGTATTTGTAATTTTGAGGATTACTAAACAGCTCTCTGTACTCTGCTAAGTTGCTTCAGTCATGTCCTACTCTTTGCAACCCCATGGACTAGAGCCCACCAGGCTCCTCTGTCCATGGGATTCTCCAGGTAAGAATACTGGAGTGGGTTGCCATTTCCTATTCCAGGGAATCTTCCTGACCCAGGGATCAAACCTGTGTCTTATGTCTCCTGCATTGGCAGGTGGGTTCTTTACCACTAGTGCCACCTGGGAAAGAGCCAAACAGTTCTCTGTAGGGGGTATGTAATAAATTATACTCCATTCAGAGATGTCTGAGAATGCCACTTTCCTACAGTTATTTTTCCAATGAAAACTTTAATTACTTGAGAATTCCTAGTTATGACATTGTCCATAAACTAAACCCATAAAGTGATCACTCTTCAACCTAACTAGATTGTCTAAAAAGAGAAGAGTGTTGATTTTCAGATGTGAATAGTTTCAAGTAGACCTCTGCTAAAGTATGTACGATATAGCGTTGTAAATAAGTATCTATATTGTTGACAGAGCAAAACAAAACAAGGACACATATCTTTAAGACTGTCCTCCCCTATTGAACTGCATTAACTCGGCTAGAGTTCAAATTCCACTGGAGAATCTGACTTCAACTTTGATACAGTCTTTGGTATTCTTGAAATTAGTTCTGAAAACTCTGAACTTGTTAAGGGTTTTTAACCAGTGTTTCTGTTATGTGGTGATTTAGCAACAGATAATGTTGTAACAGTGCTCAGAATGTGACATGAAAGCCTCCCTACCCTGAAGTTGTAAGTTAGAACAATATGGTCTTTTGCAGTCAAAACAATCAATCCTTCCCAAAATAATCTCATATGAAATCTTGAATAAAAATCTTATTAGCACTCTAAGGTTAAAGTCAGTTGTGTAAAAGGGACTTGTTACCAAATTGATATAAATTAATTATAACTGCTGTATATATAAAATGTCTTGAAAAGTGGATCGCTATACTTTACATTATTAACGTCAAGGAATGATGAGTTTAAAAGCTTTAAAAGCAAACACTTGTGTTTTAAAAGCAAACACTTTTGATTAAATTCACAAAATGCTCACAAGCCCATGAAGTTTAGTTTACAATGCCATAAGTCCAACTGAAAAAACACATTCATGTCATTCTGGTGACTGAGGTGTTAATGGACACACAGTCAGGTGGTAGATTTTTCTCTCCCTAAAATGAATGGATCTACCTTAGACCAAAACATTTCAGGCAAGGCAGGCTTTTTTAAATTTGAATTGACCAGATATTCTAGGTCCCCAGTTTTAGTTTGTATTGCCTCTTTGTCTAAAGCAAGTTCACAGGCCTTTATATTACAGCAAAAGTTCAAAGGTTCCCTTTGAAAAGCTTCCTAATCTCTTTATTTTCTGGGCTTTGGTTTTGTTTTCTTGCTTATTCTAGTTCAAGGGCTTCACACCATTTAAGATTTTATCTCTTTGTTTCACTTTAATAAAGGTTTAATGATAATGTTTGCTTCAGCCTGAAGGCTTAGCAAAACTGAAACAAAGAGAGTGAGATTCTTATCTTACTTGGGTTTTTCCCAATTGTGCAAAAATTAATCCCCTCAAATATTTTGTTTGTTGTTTCTACACTGACAAAGGCACCTACAAGCCTTTTACCCTGCAGGAGATCCCCTAGAAATATACAAATCTGTAGATATTCTTCTAGGAGAAGCTGATAGAGGGGTTTTTGTTGTTGTTGTTTTGTTTTTCTTTGTTGTTGTCTTGTTTTTCTTTGTTGTTTTCTTTTTTCTCCTCTTTTTTCTTTTATTTCTATTTGAAAGCCTGGGTGATAGAGCAAGGTACCCATTTTCTTTTATCTGATAGAGAAAACTCTCCTCTAGCCTTTGGTGCCTACAGTAATTAGGGAGTAGAACTGCTTCTATTTGATCCTTTCACAACAGTTCTACTACTGTTTTCTTGTTTGTGTAAAACAACTTCTGATAGCACATCTATTAATTTACCCTTGCTCTCATAAAAACTTCAACCCCAAAATCTTCTTCAAAAAGTTTGATCCTACTTACAGAGGCCTAGCTAAAATTCCTTCCATTCCCTAGTGTTAATTAAAACCACTTTTCCTCTAGGCAGTTCCACTGCACAAAAATAATGTAACAAAAGTAGATAGAAACACAGTGAAATACATGTAAATCCATGGCTAATTCATCTCAATGTATGACAAAAACCACTGCAATGATGTAAAGTAATTAGCCTCCAACTAATAAAAATAAATGAAAAAAAAAAAAAAAGAAACACAGTGAAAGCAGAAACAAAGAGGAGGGAGAACGAAAGTGTGAGAAATGGTTACTTGTTTCGGAATCTTTAACTGTATGCTCATCGTGGGTGGATACTCATACATTAAGTTACTAGTTTGGTTCTTCTTTTCAAGTTCCCTCCCCAAATTTTTATCCACATTCCTTTCTTCCAAAATTGACAGTACAGAGGGAACATCATAGAGTTATTAAAACTAAGCAGAATGCATCCATCGGGCATGCCTTTCAGGAATCCAGCCCACTATTTTTTTTGCTATGGTTTGATGACTCAGCCCCCTAAGATGCAGCAGGGGAAGACTTTCCTCATTTTGCAGAGCTGCCAAATCTCATTCATCGGAGCAAAGCCTCCCCATTTGGGGCTCATTTTAAACAGTTGTTTATCTTTTTAAATATTTTTTTCAAATCTCCCTCAGTAGAGAGGGAGTGTATCATGATTTTCTAAATAGCTATAAACATGCTCCTCCTCCTATGAAGCGTCAGCTTTCTGGTCACCAAGCCTAGTTTCTTTTTTCTTCCCTCTTTCCCCTTTTTCTTCTCCCATCTCAGCTACCTCTGTTGGTCTCATCTGTTTCTTAGAGGTTCCAGTTTCTTTTCTTCCATTGAGACATTTGTCTCATTTATACTTCTTGAAAATTTTTTTTCTGTCTTCCTTTCAAAGCTGTTCATCTAAGATCTCTTTTCACTTATCCCCCCTTTTATTTTTAAAGCATAATAATTAAGCTTTAGTAAGTGCAAACTGCAAGCTCAACGTCAAATACCCTCCCAGTATTCTCTCTTGAGGGAGGTGCCCTCATTATCCTGCTTAACAGATGAAAGAAACAAAGGCGCGGACTGGAGGAACTTGCAGAATAAGGCCCTAAAGCTGGAAGGGACAAGGCTCAGCGCTCAACCCAGCTAGCTACTTGGCTCCGGAGGCAATGCACTTAAAAGAATTATCTTTAAAAAGCCTTATTAGAAACAGATTTGTAAAGGATGTGCAACTTAGAATCTCATCTCTTTCCCACCATGGGACAAGTTTTCCAGTTCTGCCCATTAAAAAGAAACAAACAAAAAAAGCTTTCTCTTCTTGAGCCTGTCGCCATTTATCACCGCTACTAGAGGCCCCCTTCCCACTTCGCTCGGCAAACGTGTCTTTCATTATGACTCAGCCCAGCTCGCGGCTTGCCAAGCGGCTGACGCTCGCGGCGGAGGCGCCGGGGCCACCGCTCGGGGGCGAGGGCTCGAGCGCTCCTCCCGCTTTACGGCTGCTGAAAACCCGGCCCGCGCCCGGCAGCCGTACCGCAGACGAGTCCGCGCCCGCGCCGCTCAGGTAATCCGAGTCCTTCTGTTTCCAAAGTTTTGCCCCAAGCAGCTCGGCGCTCTGAGGCGGCGCGGCCTCGGCCCAGCCGTCCGGACCTTTCCCCCCGCTGCCCCCCCGCCGGGACCGGCGCAGCTGAGGCACGGGCCGCACTCCTGCGCGGGTCCCGGCGCGCCGATCGGGCTCAAGTCCCGGGCCAGAGGGGCGCTCGGGCGGCGGCTGGGTGAGAACGACTTGGAGGGGCGCCCGGCGGGGCACCTGGCTTTGGCCGGCCTCGGGCACACGCCTCGGAGCAGCCCCGGGCCCCGCCTCGAGGCCCCCGCCCACCTCCCGGAGCCCCGCAGCGCCGGATCACCCGTTTCTGACACGTTCACACACGCACGCACGCCCGGCCCCCGGGGCATCCTAGCGGGACGCAGGTAGAGACGGCGGTGCTGCGCAGCCTGCCTTAGGGACGGCTCGCCGGAGGGGTGCCGTTGAATGTCGCTCCGGAGGACGCGCATCAGGGCTCGCCGGAGGAAGTTGAGAGAATGTTGATGCTTGAGCAGGTTTCTACCCTAGTGTCTGGTTCTTACACCACAGTACCCCCACGCTCTCATTCTTCTCTCCTCTTCATCCTGTAGTCTTTCTGTCTCTTCTTTTTTTTGCATACTTAGTACTACTATTATTATTTTCTTTATTGGGTAGCTCATCCTGTGGTGTTTTCTTTTGCCCCGCACTGTTAGAGTAACAAGTACACATACAGTATCCTTTTCTTTTCCATTGTTCTTAGCAAGGTTCTTTGCTTACCGTGGCTTGTGCATTTGAGGAGCAGAGTATTGGATCCTGGCTGGACTTGGACGTGTGATTTAAGTTATTGGGCTGTGTCCTATTGCCTCAGTTGGTCATGCAGAACAGAGGAGATGAGTTTGTTTGAAACTCACCCTTAGTAATCTAGATGATGGTGTTGCCTCTTTTGGTGGGCTACACCTTGACAAATAAGCAGTTACGTCAGGAGTTCCTGTGGTATTCACTCCAGTCAGTTCAACCCAGTAACAGTTCTTTGAAGGTCAATCATGGATAGCTGGTGACAGGTTAGGACCCTGTCCCCCAGAGATCACATATCCAGAAGAAGGGACCATGGTGAGCACTACTGTAGGTTAGTGACAAAGTGAATGGGGAAGGAAGGGATTGATGAAAGGGTTGGGTTTTAAACTAGGCTTTGATGTTTGAGTTGGCTTTCCCCCATTTTATTTATTTTTCCCTCTAAGAATTTTTAATAGAAAGACGGGATCTTTCAACAATATTTTCACCTCAAACTACTCAGGTTTTTCTTCTTTGCAATTGGCAGTAACTTCTGATCTCAGGACTTCTGGGGAATGTAGAAGTAATTCCTCTTCACAAGGGTGATCTAAACTCCTGGTACCATACAAAGAGTTTTATAGACTACTATAGGACCAACAAAAGTGAAATGATAAAATTATAGCTTACGAAAAGCAGCATCAGATTCACATAGAGAGCACAATATTTGTTTATTCATTTAATCAACAAATGTTTATTATATGCCCAGCATTATTTTTGGCACTGGAATAAAGTACGGTTTTCTTGGAATCTACATTCTTGTGGAGGGACACATTATGTGTAATACATAGAAAAATATGATAATATATAGGAGTTCCTTGGAGATACTGCAGGTTTAATTCCAGACCATCACAATGAAGAGAATATTGCAATGAAGGAAATCACAGTATTTTTGTTTTCCAGTGCATATAAAAGTTATGTAATGCTATACAGTAGTCTAATAAGTGTGCAGTAGCATGATATCTTTTAAAAGTATGTACTTTAATTAAAAAATGCCCTGTTGCTAAAAAAATGCTAGACATCATCTGATAATTCAGGGTGCTTCAAACCTTCAGTTTTTAAAAAATGCACTCCCTGGGAAGTGCAATAAGGGAGGGACAGTAAAATGAGGTATACCTGTACAAAGTGCTTTGGAAAACCTAAGGCAAGGGAAGGTGTGTGCATGTGTGTTTAGCAGTTTAAAATAGCATTTAAAATAGCCTAGGGGAAAGCCCCTGGAGCAAGTGACATTTCAGTAGAACTTGAAGCAGATGAGGGAGTGAGCCATGTGATATTTGGGGCATGAGTTTTTCAGGCATAGAGAGTAAAAAATGCAGAGGCCCAGCATCTTGGTGTGTTCAGGTCTCAGCAAAGAAGCCAGCAAGGTGGAGTGGCATAGAGAAAGGAGGCCAGTAGGATATGTGGTCTTAAAGGAGTTTGAGGTTAGGTAGTACTAATTAGCTATTATAATGACTTCATCTTTTCCTTGAAGTGATATGGGAAGCCTTTGGAGTGTTTTGATCACTACTAAGAGAACTGTTTAATTCCGTTACTCTTGCTATTGTGTTGAGAACAGATTAAAGGAAAACAAGGGCAGAAGTCAGGATACCAGTTGGGCGATTATGATAATCCATGTGATGGAGATGGTGGCTTAGACTAGGGTGGTATGAAAAGTGATGGTGAAAAGTTCATATTCTAGATGTACTTTGATAGTATATTACACAGGATTTGCTGACAGGTTAGATATGGAGTGTGCCAGCAAAAGAAATTAGGGAGAACTTAATCACCCAAGTAGCCAAAAATGTAGAACTTCCATTTACTGAGATGGGGAAGATAGCAGGAAAAAGACACGATGGTGAAGATAAATCATTTGGAATTGGACTTGTTAAGGGTTAGATGCATTTTAAATATCCAAGTGGAGATGTCAAGCATGCACTCTGAAGAATACTGGAGTGGGTAGCCATTCCCTTCTCCAGTATGTCTTCCCAACCCAGGAATTGAACTTGGGTTTCCCACCTTGTGGGCAGATTGCTTACTGTCTGAAGCATCAGGGAAACCCTGAGAACAGGCTAACAATATGCATTTAGGATTCTTCAGCATCCTACATCCAGTCCTAAATCCTAAACCCAACAATTTAGGATTGTTCATTATACAACTGATTTTAAAAGCAAAGAGATAGAGTAAATTCATCAAAAATATATGAGATTAGAAAACTGTAAAGGACTAGGGACTGAGTCTTGGGGGCCTCCAACATTGGGAGATGAGGAGCTACCAGCAGAAGAGTCTGAAAAAGAGCTCCATGCTAGGTAAGAGGAAGAGCAGGAGAGTATCGGATCATGGAGAGTCTTTGGAAGACAAATCAAGGAAGCGTTTGAAGAAGTAGGGGGATTGTCAAAGATGAGGATTGAGAATTGATTTAGCAAAGGAAATCATGACCTTGATGATACCAGTTTCCATGGAGTGATAGGTGGTGAGGCTTGTTTAGAATGTTTGACAAAGGAGTAGAAGAAAAGTTAAAGAGAGTGATGGTATATATCCCTTGAAGATTTTTATTGAAAAGGAAGGGAGAGAAATGGATCATTAGTTGGAGGGTTATGTGATATAAGGAGTTTTAAAGATGTACAGAACAATAGTATTAATATATTGTTATGCTTAGGAGAAGTAGCCAATAAAGATGGAAAATTGTTGATGCAGGAGAGAGAGAGGGGAGCAGTATTGTTGAGTATGTTTGAGAGGCTGGAACAGGAGAGGTTATCTGTTTCTAGGATTATGGGCTATTTACCTATAGTGATAAGAGAGAAGGAAGGGACTTCCAGGCGGCACAGTAGTAAAGAATCGGCCTGCCAGTGCAGGAGGCGCAAGAGACATGAGTGTGATCTCTGGGTCAGGAAGATCCCCTGGAGTAGGAAATGGCATCCTGCTCCAGTATTCTTGCCTGGAAAATTCCATGGACAGAAGAACCTGGTGGGGTTCAGTCCATGGGGTTGCAGAGAGTTGGACACCACTGAGCACACACACAAAGAGAGAAGGAAAACTGTGTGGACACATGCAGAGTGTGTGTGTGTGTGTGTGTGTGGTGGGGGGTAGATTTTCTTGTTGGATTCCTTTTCTTCTCATTGTGACGAGTAGCAGACAGTGCATAAGAAATTTGTAGGAAACATTATCTGTTTTTCTGCATTTGGTCAGGGAAATGACCAAGTTTTTGATGAGAAAGTAAGATTCTAAGAATTTCTCAAAGCAAAGAACTTTGTTGTGTTTTGTTGAAGAAAGAAAAGGGAGAATTTCTCCCTTGAGTTCTGCTTGGGAGAAGCCTTGGAAAGGAAGTTGAGGTTATAAAATAGTAGAGGCGAAGGAGGAAATAAGCAAGATTATATCAGGAAATCCGAGGAAGACTATGATGAGAGTAAAAATACTGAATCTTAACCTCCAGTGCTGCTGGCTAACTGCAGTAATGTTCTAAGAATATTACTATCATATTAAACAGATAGTTTACTTTTTAAGTACAGAGTGTGATCTAATAGATGTTGCTGGGGATTAATCACCTTATGGAGAGGTGGTATTAGACTTACAAAGAGATGTTTGCTAGGAATAGATTTCAGTTGAGTTTTGAAAATGACTGGATTGGCAACATATTGAATGTAAGGAAAGAGCATTTTGATAGCATTACTTATGGATGAGTGATTGGACAAGATGGAGAGAATTTTGCAGTTAGAAATAGAACCTTGTTTGAGATGGCTTTCCTTCAGTTATTTAGGGATTATTTATTTATTAAAGCATAATTATAAAATAGGGTATTGTGTGAGGTCTTGGCAAAAGATAGTGATACCAAGATGTAAATGACATGATCCCTGCCTTCAAATTATAATTTCTAGTGAGGAAGAAAAGAATGTATACAAATATTTGGAGAGAAGTGATAAATGCCCTATGAAGAGAACTGAGTGCATTGAGTTTTTAAAAAATTCACTGTGGAAATTATTGGACACTCAAAATTAGAATAGAATAATGAACTCCAGTGTACTCATCAGTTTTCAAAATCTGTCCATTTTCTGCCAATCTTGTATGTTGTGTGAGAGTAAGCTTCTCTTTGTAGATTGGGATGGAGCGATTTCTCGGAGGTTCTCTTACGTGGATAGGTAGAAAAAACACTGACCTGAGTAAACTGTAGAGTTCTTGCTTCTAGTTCTATTCCTGCCAGTGGCTTGCTAAACTGATTTTCTGTTGCTCAGTTGACCTGTCTGCTTTTCACTTTCTCAGTAGAGTGTGGCTGTTATTCTGCATCAGGAGGCTGCAAACACTGGCCCTTGAGTCAAACCCAGCCTTCTCCCTGTTTTCGTGAATAGTAAAGTCTTATTGGAACACAACTACATCCATCCGTTTTTTTTGTCTGTGCCTGCATTTGTCATAGGTTATGGAGTTTTGTGGTTGAGGCAGAGGTGACGGTATGACTAAAGAAGCCTAAAATATTTACTTTGTGGGCCTTTAGAAAATGCTTGCTGATTCCTGTTCTACATGATCTCTGATACTACTTTAGCTCCAGTATGTTACTCTACTAGCTGAGTAAAAATTAGTAATAATAGCTATTACATTTTTTAGCATTTACTAAGAGCCAGCACTGTTGTTTGGTTTGTATTTACTCATTTAATCATCACCAAAACCCTATGAGGTGGGTTGTGTCATTTCTACA